ATTAGATGGCATACTGGGGAGAAATTCCTCCCTGTGAGGGTGGTGAGGCCCTGGAGTGGATTTCCCAGAGGATGCTCCATCCCTGGGAGTGTCCAAAGCCAGGTTGGATGGTGCTTGGAGCAACCTGGGCTAGTGGAAGGTGTCCCTGCCCATGGCAGGGGGTTGGAACTGGATGATCCTTAAGATCCCTCCCAACCCAAACCATTCCATGATCCCATGACACGGCACCATCCGTTATCTGCCCAACCCTTCAGTGTTTTCTCCAACCTCCTGGCTGCTCTCCAGGCTTGGCAATTCTCTCCAACTTCCTAAATTTCCATTGGCCTAGAACACGATATTTCCTTTTTCCACTCCCCTTCCTGCCCCCTGGCACCTGCAAACCATCACTGGGTGCCCTCAACCAGCTCATGTTTCGAGCTGGGGAAGCTGCACCTCCACAAAACCCCATCCTTCCCTTCCCTCCTCCTCCCTCTGTAGGTGCATCCCCAGCCAGGAACATTTTCTGAGGAGCCCAAGGGTCCATTTTGAGGCTAATGAGATGCAGGAGAGAGAAGTGCAGAGTTTGCACCTCCCCTCGTCCTGCTGGCAAATAAAACCCCAGCGACGTTTCTGGGATAAAAGTTCCAGATTAATGAAAGCTGCCTTGAGGAGCTCTTCTCATTTCCAGTTAGGTATTCCTTCCCCTCGCCCAGGCAGCTCTCCCCAGCCTCTCCCAAATTTGCTTTGACCTAGAAAAAAAGGCTTTTTTTTTTTTTTGCTCCAACAGCTGCACTTTATTACATCTTCACTGGTGGTCTTTTATAGTTTATTAGCCAAAGAAACAGATAAGTTTAATCCAGACAATTATCATTAGTGGTAATATATTGTAATCAGAGGCACATGGGCTGTAAAATCTCCATTCAGTTGTCCAGGGATTGGAGTTTTCAGGCGAATATTGGGGAATTTGTTAAACCATGTTGGAAAAAGGCAGTAGTAGATTTAGGGGGGGGGTGGGAGGAGGTGGAGGCTCGTATTGTTTAAATCCTTCTCCTTCTGGGGACGGAGGGTTATTCATGATTTGGCTTTTCGAGCCCCTTGGCTGGGAATTACTCATTTATTTTCGGGGAAGGAGCAAAGGCCCAGTGAGAATATTGCATATTTCAGCGGGTGGGTTGGGCAGGGAGCTGGGCAGGGGCGGGAGGGATCGGCTCCTCTTTGGGACATGCCTGCGTAGTTTCACACCAGATCAGCGGATCTGGGGGGCAAAGAGGGAGAAAAAGCAGCTGGTTTTTCCTTCCCCTCTCCCAGTTCTTCACTCTGGCTTGGGTGAGCAGCCAGGGCAGGGGCAGGGATTGGTGGTGTCACCTTAGTGTTCTGTGTTGTGTGTCCGTATTTAAGGGAGGAAGCGGCTTAAACCAGCCAGGTGGTTTGGGGATCCGTGGGATTTAGGGCCTTTCACGTTCAGAGCTGATTTTCGGGGCTGCAGGGTCTCGATTTAACAGCCTCTGTCTGAACCTCCCCGGGCAAGGGGGTGTCGTGGTCACCTGGCACGGAACCATTCCCTTGGCTCCGAGCATGGAGAGGTTTGGCCATGGGGTTGTCGTGGTCACTCCAGCATGGCACAGTCCTCTCGGAGTGCTGTCCAGCTCCCAGAACCAAGGAGGCTTTAGCCATGGGAATGTCGTGGTCACCCTGACACAGCATCACCCCCTTGGAGTGTGCTCCTGCTCCTGAGAACGATTGGCACATGGTCCTGCTCCCAAAATTGGAAGGGTTTTGGCCACAGGGATGTCGTGGTCACCCC